GGGGGGCTGCAGTGATGGTTGACTTTCTACAACTTTCTCCCATTTCCCGACTGCATCTCTGGAGCTCAGCCACAGTCATCTTTGGGTTCTTCTGTACCTCTCTCACCAAGGCTCTTCTCCCCCGATAGCTCAGTTTGGCCGGACGGCCAGCTCTAGGAAGGGTTCTGGTCGTCCCAAACGTCTTCCATTTAAGGATTATGGAGGCCACTGTGCTCTTTGGAACCTTAAGTGCAGCAGAAATTTTTTTTGTAACCTTTGCCAGATCTGTGCCTTGCCACAATTCTGTCTGTGAGCTCTTCAGGCAGTTCCTTTGACCTCATGATTTTCATTTGCTCTGACATGCACTGTGAGCTGTAGGGTCTTAGACAGGTGTGTGGCTTTCCTAATCATGTCCAATCAGTATAATCAAACACAGCTGGACTCAAATGAAGGTGTAGAACCATCTCAGGGATGATCAGAAGAAATGGACAGCACCTAAGTTAAATATGAGTGTCACAGCAAAGGGTCTGAATACTTATGACCATGTGATATTTCAGTTTTTCTTTTTTAATAAATCTGCAAAAATGTCAAACATTCTGTGTTTTTCTGTCAATATGGGGTGCTGTGTGTACATTAATGAGGAAAAAATGAACTTAAATGATTTTAGCATATGGCTGCAATATAACAAAGAGTGAAAAATTTAAGGGGGTCTGAATACTTTCCGTACCCACTGTATGTACCTGTAAGAAAAATTCAGTGTTTTCACACCACAAATGAGCCTCATCAAAGTTATTTTGGAAGTGGTCTGAAACCTTCTTCTTTAATTTGATCTTGGTTTGGCTATTGGGTCCACACCAGAGTTTGACTGACAGCTTTCACAGCAACCCCAGTGAACTGCACTACAGGCAAACGTTGCAGTGTTTTAACCAAGCAGCTTAAAATTACAGCCAGATAAAGCTCATCGTCACACAGGTAAAGGAGAAGTAAGGAAGAACATTGCAGCCCTCAGAGGCGGAGCATCACAGATTTATGTATATGTAGTTGTGCTGTACTGGTGCAGTGTTGTTTGCTGACTCGACCTTTTCTCCCACAGGCCTCACGGCAGTTTGATCAGGAGGGCAGGAAGAAGTTTTTCACCCTGGATATGAATAACATTCTGCTGGAGTGAGTAGGACAGCTTTTAAATCACCACCAACCCGATCCCTGCTCCCTCCCCGCTCCCTTTTCAGTCACACATACTGATACAAAGTTAGCTGGCTGGATCTGGGGGTGGGGGCGTTGTGTTGAGCACATAATTGATATAGTCTGCGGTGACTAGACAGTTTTCTGAAGTTTCTGCCATAGTATGTACTGATGTGCGCTACTGTTCAAAACTTTGGGTTTTTGACAGTTGTTTGTTTTGGCGTAATTCAACAGTCGAACACGCTCGAGGCATTTGTTCAGATAGATAGTGGCATCTGGAAAGTCACTATGCTGGTAATTCTGCCGTTTGACACTCCCATCTTTTTGTTTTTCACAGCATGGATGTGTTTTGTTTTGTTTTTTGACTCGTTATCCTGCTATAGGATGAAACCCTGAAAAAGTCTGACTTTGTTAATTTTCATTGTGAAAGTAATGCTTCAGAGGGTGTAGTAAGTCTTTTCCAACAGTCATTGCACAGATAGGATTTGTTGTTGTACATAATCAACAAAAGGTGGAACATCTGTAGGAGTTGCATCAATGTTCAAAGTTTAACTTAGTTCTGCCGCTGCAGAAAAGATGAATGTTGAGCTAAATGTACACACACGGTTTTTGGTGACACTTTTTCCTCTTTGTTTTCCCAGTGGCAGTTTACTTCTTATCTTTGTACTGTTTAAGGTTATTTTAGACTCAAACTGCTTTAATTTAATAACAAAAAATGGAGGTGATCCCAGAATTTTGGACAGTGGTGTATGTCAGCAGTTTGTTTCCACACATTGTTTTTTCTGTTTATGCCTCAGTAACTTGTTAAAGACACGTCAGAGAGTGTCAGTGGAGCAGTGAACTCTGTGGTTTGGTTTCCACCGGAATCGAGATGATCGTGATTAGCTCTCACCTGGTTGTTGCTCGCACTGTGTCAGAGGATATTTACATAAAGTTGAGAGTTGCTCTACCTTATGCAGATATCTCTGTAGTGTGGCTGGGCACTTTGTGTATCTGTAGCTTTGCGGGTGGCGCAGGACTTCAGTGAGCAAGATCTTATTCACGATGACTGGCAGCTGTCGAAGGCCCAGCCTTTTGAATCTGTATGTGTGAAGGCACCGTTACTCATTTTCAGCAGATGTTCCTCTCCACCTCTCCTGCTGTCTTGAAGCGTTTAGTTTCCTCTGTCTGTTTTAATGACATTTTTCAGTTCAAGTCCCCCCTCTTCATCCTCATGTTCATCCTTCTCTCTCTGCTCTGTCAGTGCCTTTTATTCTTCACTATCTATTCCTTCAATCTTCATTTCCCCTTTATACTGTTTTCCTGTATTCCACCATCTTTTTCTCCCTCATTACTTTCCTTCTCTTTATCCTTACTTTCCTTCTCTTTATCCTTCTGTCCCTTCTGAATTCCACATTACTGACTTCTTCTCTCTCCTCTTCCTCCTCTCAGTATTGAGCTGCAGGTGCAGGAGCAGCCTTCTGAGGTACGTTCAGACATCTACTCACACATGGAGGCATTTGTCCCGTGCAACAAAGAAGCGCTCCTCAAACGGATGAAGAAGCTCAGCCTCAACATCCAGGTGGGTGAAGCTTGTCTGTATGAGAAACCCCCTTGCCTTATATTGATTAAAAAAAAAAAACATGTTTACATGTCTTTTGTAGTCTTCTTCAGAGGTGGGAAGTAACTGTATGTTTACTCAAGTACTGTACAGTTTTGAGGTATTTGTACCTCGAGTGTTTTCATTTTCTGCCACTTTATACAGGTACTTCACTACATTTCAGAAAAAACATGGTACTTTGTACTCACTACATTTATGTGATAACTCTAGTTACTTTTCAGAATGAGATTAATAAAACTAATTACAGTATAAGTTTAGTGATTACCTTACATCCTTGATGTAAAGTAATTAAAACTAGATCCACCTTTACCAGCTGCAGTTTTAAATGTGATGTACACAATAAAGCATCAGTAATTATAATCCAGTAATATGATGTACATTTGATGTGAACTGTGCCATTCTGCATAATATGCACTTTTACTTTTAGTACTTCAAGTATATTTTTATTCTAATGTTTTTCTGTTTTTTCCTAAGTAGCATTATGAATGCAGGACTATTTTTACATTGTGTGTTTGTGTTTTGTAATGTTCCTTTGTAACTTATGTGGCAACAATTCTATGACTACAAAATAGCAGCTATCTGGGGATCAGGAAAGCAGTAGAGTGAAAGTGTTTCCTTCAGATGTTGTCTTTTGATTTGTAATTATATTTCTGACCATTTAATCTCCTGCTGTTTCAAAACTGGTTAGATTATTTTTGCATTTTCATGGAGCTTTGAATCCCTAGCCACCGCTTCAGTTGTTAATGTGTAGGCGGGCTAGTGCAAGGAGGACTGCCTAAAGACGGGCTTCCAATGACTTTGGTTGTGAAAAGTTCAAATTCATTGTTGACAGAATACATCATCTCTTGCTCTTGCTACTGTTCTTTTCCTTTTTCTTTCTGTTGTCTGCATCTCTTCATCTTTTTTTGGTTTCTTTGCCTCTTGTTCCTTTTTTATTTCCCTATTTCTCCGTCTCCCCTTGTCTCTAACACAACCTGTCTACCTCAGGATGACCGACTACGGACACCACTGTTGAAGCTGAAGTTGGCAGTGTGCAGTGTGATGCCAGAGCAGATAGCCAGATATAACATGGACTGCATGGCCAAGGTTGCCAAGTAAGTAAATCACCTTGTGTTTTTTTTGTTGTTGTTGTTTCACAAGGCAGAAGAGTAAGAAACCACTAAAATTGGATGTTTTCAGGACTTTATTGAAGCAGTTTGCCTGTGAATGTGTGTTTATACATGTATTTATGAGTGAGTGTGTTTTTGTTACAGGCAACAGTCGGAGGAGGGTGATAAGAACGGCTCAGAGGAGGAGGATGAGGAGAAACCTGGGAAAAGGGTGATGGGCCCACGGAAGAAGTTTGTCTGGGACGACAAGCTCAGGTAATGATCCAGGACTGTCTTGCTGGTATAGCTGGCTGTGTAGTGTACAGAGCTTCTGTGGTGCTGTACCTTGTATTCACTGTTTTCTCATACCAGTCCTATTTTCTCTTGGTGTCTAGTCTAGTGTAGTGAACAGAGCATTCACAGGCCTTAAAGTTTGCTCAAAGTTGCTGGGATGGAGAAAAATAATGACTCAGAAGTGAATGAGGGGAAAACGTCGACAATGTAATGAATATTCCTCAGCAAGTTACTAAGAATTAACACTTTATATTCTGGAGAATTAAACTCGCACTGCTTTATCTTTACTCTAGTGTGCATAAAAGCAGGTCTCATGTCATTTTTGACCTATAGTTTGCACAATTTGAGTCTCTGAATTTCACCAAACAGGATCTTTTTAAGTTAATGGAAACATACAAATGTAGCCATGGTGAATTAAAAAAAAAAGGATTCTCTTAATGAAATGACAAAAACCTTGAGGTACACCTGCAGGTTTTAAAGTTGCCTTGGACATTTGTGTTTGTACAGGAACCTGCTGTGCAGCTTGGTGCGAGTGAAGCTAAGCTGCTATGAGATGGAGAAGCAGTGCTCTCTGTCTGTGGAGGACTACCTCAAGGCCTTCCTAGAGAATGAGGTCAAACCACTGTGGCCCAAGGGCTGGATGCAGGCCAGGTTTGTGTGTGTGTGTGTGTGTCTCTGTGAATGTACAGTCGTGACCACAAATATCGGCACCCTTACATTTCTGTCAGCTAATGCACCACTTCTCACAGAAAATTGTTGCAGTCACAAATTATTTGGTATTCTCATGTTTATTTCTTTTGTTTGCATTGGAAAAAACAAAAAAGCAGAGTGAAAAAGCCAAATCTGACACAGAACTCCAAAACTGGACTGCACAGATTTATTGATACCTTTTCAAAATCATAAGAAATAGTTGTCAGACATGTGATGCTCCTTTAATTTGTAATGAAACTCACATTATATTTAGAGGTGTCTTTACGTCTTTGTTCTCCCCAGCTACACACATGAGAGGGTCAGAATATTAGGAACACCTTGGAATTATAATGTAGTCCAGTACAACAGCAGCTTCATTTTCAGTATAGTTGAAGTTGAGAATAAAATGTAACGCATTAATCACACAAACATACAACCTCAGTGCTTGAACTCCACTGGAGCTGTGTAGCTGGTTGTTGTCATATGTGGAAGTCGTAATTTTTATAATGTACAAACTGGGATTCCCTACTCTGCTGGGAAAAATACAAGTTTGACGTTCAGGTTTGTTTTTTTTAAACCGTTTTTCTCAGGATGTCAGGATGGCCATAGCTGCTCTCATGGCCAGCAGCAAGCAAATAGTACTTTTTCAGTGGTTTGATTTTTTTATTATTATTATTATTTTTGGCCTGTTATTTCCTCTGTTCTGGTCAACTGTTGTTCACTGCATGTAAAAGGCCAAACACTGGCAGTTCTATCTTTTTCACATACAGTCAGGGAAAAAATTATTTGAACCCCAGCTGATGATGAGAGCAGCTATGGCCATCATGACATCCTGAGAAAAAAGGGTTTAAAAAAACAAACCTGAACGTCAAACTTGTATTTTTCCCAGCAAAGAGTAGGGAATCCCAGTTTGTACATTATAAAAATTACGACTTCCACATATGACAACAACCAGCTACACAGCTCCAGTGGAGTTCAAGCACTGAGGTTGTATGTTTGTGTGATTTTGTAAGTTATCCCACTAACAAAGAAATGATCAGTCTATAATTTCAATGGTAGGTTTATGTGAACAGTGAGAGACACAACAATAAAAAAAAATCCAGAAAAAAGCATTACAAAAAAAGTTATACATTAATTTGCATTTTCATGAATGAAATAAGTATTTGATCCCTTTGCAAAACGTGCTTTAGTACTTGGTGGCAAAACCTTTGTTGGCAATCACAGAGGTCAGACGTTTCTTGTAGTTGGCCACAAGGTTTGCACACATCTCAGGGGGGATTTTGACCCACTCCTCTTTGCAGATCCTCTCCAAGTCATTAATGTTTCGTGGCTGATGTTTGGCAACTCGAACCTTCAGCTCCCTCCACAGATTTTCTATGGGATTAAGGTCTGGAGACTGACTAGGCCACTCCATGACCTTAATATGCTTCTTCTTGAGCCAATCCTTTGTTGCCTTGGCCGTGTGTTTTGGATCATTGTCATGCTGGAATACCCAACCACGACCCATTTTCAATGCCCTGACTGAGGGAAGGAGGTTCTCACCCAAGATTTGACGGTACATGGCCCCATCCATCCTCCCTTTGATGAGTCAGATGTCCAGTGGCAAACTGCAAACGGGCCTGTAGATGTGCTTTCTTGAGCAGGGGGACCTTGCGGGCACAGCAGGATTTCAGTCCTTCATGGATTAGTGTGTTACCAACTGTTTTTTTGATGACTATGGTCCCAGCTGCCTTGAGATCATTGACAAGTTCTTCCCGAGTAGTTCTGGGCTGATTCCTCACCGTTCTCATTATCATTGAAACTCCACGAGGTGAGATCTTGCATGGAGCTCCAGACCGAGGGAGATTGGCAGTTAATTTATGTTTCTTCCATTTGCGAATAATCGCACCAACTGTTGTCACCTTCTCACCCAGCTGCTTGGCGATGGTCTTGTAGCCCATTCCAGCCTTGTGTAGGTCCACAATCTTGTCCCTGACATCCTTGGAAAGCTCGTTGGTCTTGGCCATGGTGAAGAGTTTGGAATCTGGACTGATTGATTGCTTCTGTGGACAGGTCTCTTTTATACAGGTAACGAGCTGAGAGGGCTCCCAATGTCAGCTCGTTACCTGTATAAAATACACCTGGGAGCCAGAGATCTTGCTGACTGATAGGGGATCAAATACTTATTTCATTCATGAAAATGCAAATTACTTTATAACTTTTTTTGTAATGCATTTTTCTGGATTTTTTTGTTATTGTTGTGTCTCTCACTGTTCACATAAACCTACCATTTAAACTGTAGACTGATCATTTCTTTGTTAGTGGGCAAACTTACAAAATCAGCTGGGGTTCAAATAATTTTTTTCCCTGACTGTATGTCCCATGATTTACTTGCTTTAGATCTCACAAATCAGTAATGATGAATTAGTTCTTGTTGAAAAATGGAGCCTGGGCAGGTATTCTGGTCCTCTGACATTAACACTGTTTCTTCGGCTTAGGATTCTGTTCAAGGAGAGTCTTGCTGTTCATGGTCATCTCACTGGAAATGTGTAAGTAGTTGCTTTATCGCCAACAGTTCGTGTTTTCTCAGTAACTACTTAGGCATGTCAGTGAGACGGAGCTTTGATGCAAAAAGTAAACGGAAAATGCTGAATATTTGCTGGTATTTATTTCACGCAGAGTCAAAAGGAGAGTGGTTCCTGGGCCCAAGGCCAAAGCCAAGGTGAGTGACACTTCAGAGTAGGCACTGTATAATATCTAACAACTTGTATTTTTTTTTATTTTATTTCTAATAGTATAGTCGTTATTTAAACCCACAGTAATTATTTAATTTGAACCTTTAACAGCATGTGTATTACCTGCTACTATCACATTTGCTCACTTCTGAAGACAGTTTTTTATTTAGCCTTAACTTAATTTTATGTGACTCAAAGCACTGAAATGGATCTAAAGTATCTGATGTCCACTAGCCTACCAGGGACGGCTTCTGATGTCTCAGGAGTCTTATTTTATTATCTCCATAATGGAGGGCTGCTTCTTTCTTTGTAATGTTTGTGTGAAAGCCAGTATTCAAATAAGAGTCTCAAACTATAGCAGAAGTAAGCACACACACCAGTAAAGTCCTGTTGCTAACAAAGGATTGTAAAAGGTTTAACATGGAGCCATTATAATAACACATGGTAAATTTAGTATTATGTGCATTTCTATAACTTTTAATACCATCAGAACAGCAGAGTCATGTTACATTCGCCACCCTGTTGCTCTTTGCTAGGCTACAAACAGTGTTTCTTTTTTTTTTTTTTTTTTTTTACACATTAAAAGTTTCCGTTGTAAACATGGAGTTTACCTGTTTATCACATGTTGAACAGGTCATTAGAATAAAAGCCTAGTTCTCAGCCTCTGAGGTAACTTGAAAGAGCTGTTGGCAAGTGTCATGTTACTGATACTGTCCATTTGTCTTGCTTTTCAGGAGGGTCTGTGGATCCACAAACCAGCGCTCACCGTGACCTCCACACCGTCTCTGTCCACCTCCGCACCTGCTCTAACCTCCGCCCACGAGGCCCCCGGCTCCTCGTTGCCCTCTGAGCCCATCTGTCTGTCGGACTCTCTGGATGAGGATCTGATGGCTCCCTCTCTGGACTCGATCTCTCACGCTCTGGCCCTCCTCAGCAACGCATCCAAGGGCGTGGGCCCCTCAGACAGCCCTTTATCTCCTCCACCCTCGCAAATTCCCACCTCCTCTCCTCCCCCCATCACCCCTCACTACCCCTCAGGCTCTCAGCTCTCTGCTTTGGTCACTTCTACAACACCACATCACTCACTGTCTAAGGTGGAGACCTCCCCGCTTGCAGCTGTGTCTGTTGGGAACCTGCCAACAACAATAACAACACAACCAACCTCCTCTTCTACCTCCTCTTCCTTGTCTCCGGCTGTGTCCTCCATAGCTCGCGTGCAGGCAGCAGGCCTGTCGCTGGTCTCTAGGACCGCAGATTGTTCATACGGCCTGATTAAAGGATCTGGCCTTGTGGGCCAAACCCAGAATCAGAGACTTGTTACCATGGTATCACCCAGTCACAGGCCAAGCCAGATAATGGGTGGGAGTGGTAAGTTGCACCCACATCCTGCCCCTTCACCTCCAAAGCAGCGGCCTCCTCCCACGGCTTCTCCTCTGTTGCCTCCGCATCAGAAGGGCTTTGTTAGCCCAGCAGGGATACTGGGGAGTATGGGAGCCCCCCAAGGGCTAGCCAAGAGCAGTGCCAAAGCCAGTGGCACCAGCAGCAATGGCAGCAGCATTACACCTTCTTCCTCCCCCTCCTCCCAGTCCCGGTCCAACTCTGCCTCCCACCCCAGTTTGCAGTCCTTCTGCCCTCCCTCTCCAGTGGCCTCCTCATCATCCCCCACCTCCCATACCTCACACTCTTCTCAAGCTAAATCCCACACACACCACCACCAGCCCAACTTCATCACACCCATGCAGGCCACCCTCACCAAGTCCTCCCACAGCAGCAACTCTTCTCCCATCATCAAGCTCACACCTCGGCCACCTGCGCCCACCCCACCGCCCTCCTCTTCCCCCTCCCCATCGTCCTCACCGTCACACCCGCTGTCCCATCAGATGATCCCTAGCCAACAGCAACAACACCAGTTCTCCTCCAAAATCCCCAAAACCTATCGGCCTCCCTTCACTGTATCAGGCGGTGGGCAGTTGAAGCAAACGCAGGGTAGCTGTAGCTTCACTGGAGGCCAGAAACCTCAGTCCACCACAAGCAACAGTAGCATCAACAGCAACTCTAACAACAGCAAGGGGGTGGCATCAGCTGTCTGCAGCCACCCAGACAAAACTCCCCCATCGTCTTCACCCTCAGTTTCAGCCAGGCAGAGGGTGGTGGGCGGGGCTAACCAGGGCTCAAAAGCAGGAAACGGCTGGACGGCTTCAGGAACTTTGGCCACGTCCTCCACAACATCACACCTCTCACAGGTTTCTCTCATACTACTAAGAAGGATATGTAACAAAGTCCCAGATTTGCAGTTCTGAATCCATGAAAATACAAACTGTGGTTTCACTTCTCTTTGCCCATTTTTCTGCAGGTATCAACCGCAGGCACGTCCATCCTGGGCAGCCCGTCAGCGCTGCCCCTGAGCTTCGGGATGTTGGGAGGCCTGGTGCCCGTCTCGCTCCCCTTCCAGTTCCCCCCGTTGTTCAACTTCAGCCCTCCTGGAGCCCCAGGGGCCACTGGCATGGGCTCAGCCCCCAGCTCCAACTCAGGATACCCCCTAGCTCAGAGCGACCTAATGGGTGAGTGGGCACATAACTTGCTAAAGAATGGTTTGATACTGAAAACTGAAGTAAAGAAAAGAGCAACGTTTGAGATTTAGTGCTATTTTTAGACCCCAGAGGGAAAAATCAAGGGGAACAGAGGTGTTGGACCCTTTTTATGAAACCTTATGCATAAACACCAAGAGATACAGAACAGACAGTTTGATACATGCCAATAGTGTCAGGGAACAGTTGGGAACTTATTTTTTTCCTGGTTTATTTACTTTATAAAAGACAACATCTCTACATTAATCTGGATAAATTCGAAAGCATCGTCTTTGTTCAAAAATGAAGTGTTCACACTAAGCATTTAAGTTTCAAACACCAAAAGGGGTAATGCTCCTCCTACTGCGCATGTGTCGAGGGCAAACAAGCTACACACAAAATAAAAAAACTAGAGAAGAAGAAATGTATACTATTTCGATTTATGTTCCAGGCAATATTTATAGTGAGCAGACTGTAAGAACATAATCTAACAGAAAGAAGAAGCATTTCTGCTAAAGTTTGGAATTATGGTTTCATCACAGAACAGGCAGATAACAGAAGAAAGCAAAGCAGGCTTCACCTTCTTTGACTTCCTCTTTCTCTCCTGGATTATGTTCAAGAAAACGACAAAATGGAAGCTACTGCCACTATCTGTTTGGTCGCCGATATAATAAAGCTCCGTTCTCCTCGTAGACGCTACAACGGCAAGACAGTCTCTTCAGGTTTATACAGTCCAGAGGCCTTTTTGAGAAGCTCAGCTTTTGGGGCAGAAAACACCAAAACCAAGAGAGAGAGAGCTGGTTTTGGATTTATCTGGATTAATACAGACACAGTCTCCTTCTCTAACTTTCATACCTGCACAGTTCTAAGCCATGTTTTTGTGTAATTAGCAAAAATTACAGAAAAGAATAAATAGCGCATTTGCTGTGACTGTTCAGCTATAGTGAGTATCCACTGCAGCAGAATGACGTGTGTGGGACTGAAGGGATGAAGGAAGGTGCCAGCAACTGTTGCTCATTCACGTGTTTTTAAGATTTTCGCATGACAACAGATGAATCAGGCCTTGACCCACAGATAATTGTTAGTAGGATCAACTTGTTGTTGGTCATGTTTTTTAATTTGTGGACAAATCACAATTTTAATTTGAAATAATTAAATGACTGAGCCATACCAGCAGCGTTTCCAATGTGCCTGCTCTGCTCCACATCTCTCTCTGTGACCCTCTTGCCCTGCCTCCTTTTTTTTTTTTTTAATAAACCACCATCTCCCTCCTTTGTCCTCCATCTTTTGTGTTGGTCTCTGTAATCTCAGCCTTTTGTACTTATGCGCTTTGCTGCCACTTCACTTTGTTCCTTGTCTCTCTATTGTTACCAGCCCACTTTTTAACCAGTTTTCCCTTCATCATCTTCCTGCCTTATGGTTGTTGTTGTTGCCTTTTCCCCTCTCATCTGTCCATCTTTCCCTCCATCTCTCCCCAGATCTATATAAGAGCCTACAGTCAGGGTCGCAAGCTGCCCTACCTCCTCACTTGCAGCTTGCTTTCTCAGGTAATCTGCATTCCTCCTCCCTCTCTCTCTCTCTCTCTCTCTCTCTCTCCCCTCCCTCCTTCATCCATCTGCCTGTGTCAAGTTGACTTGTCATCCTCTGCTCAGGTGCTCTGTTTGTTCTGAAACTTTCTGTTAGCATCAGCGTATTTGGTGTTTGGCATGCCTTTGGTTTGTCCTCTTTAGCTGTAGCACGATAAAGACGCATGCAACGTAACTGAAGTCATTCAAAGATGCCATGTATCAGTAGTTTGCAGTAAACAGTTTTGTCCTGCTGTACAGATGGTTGTTTGATTTGAGAGCAGCAGTCTGATTCATGTGAAATCACAATGTGTGATTTGGCTGTCTGAATTATGAAAAATTAAAAAACATTTCCTTCTGCTCCTACTAGCTGATGTCTCATGGACATGTGGCGTTAAATCCTGTCCACTGTTCAGCTTTATTTATAGTTGTAAACAGAAAGTCCAGTCTAACCTGGATTGTTCAATGCAATCAGGTCAAAGAACCATCTAAACACCAGGAGACAGAAACTCAGCCACAGCTCATCATGTGTGAAGCTGCTGCCAGTTCCTACCTGGGCAGCAGCAGCAGCAGCAGCCTCTAAAACCTCCCCCGGAGCCTGTTGCAGCAGCTCAACATGTGATGAACCTCAGACTCTGCACTGAATATGATGATTAAGTTAATTTAACACTAAAGCCATGTCTTTGTTTAATTATGCACTTTTAAAAGTGCATTTCAAATCATTTCTATCTGGAGCAAACCTAACTGCCCTCAACTTGTTTTACATTACATGGAAGTAATCGGCCATAATAATTTGGCATTAAAACCTGTTCACCCGCACCGTGCTGTATCTGGCACACTTCCATCAAAGTGTATACTTCGCCTTTTCTCTAAATGATTATGTATCAAATTGCTGATCAATATGGTGATGCAATACACTGTTAGAAGGTTTGGAACAGAAAATGGTGAGGGCTGTGTCGGTTGTTTCATGTAGACCTTGATGACTCTGACTTGGGTAATGGGGACTCGACTCAGACTCTGGGTTTAGTGACTCAACTATGGCACTAGACTCCACCATAACTAGTGTCTATATTAAAAGGTTTTCAGTTGGTGCAGTGTGTAAACTCAACAAGGTTCAATCAGTCAGTGTTGAAATGCTGCTTCAAGTTATTGGAGGTTTGACAGGATGATTTATTCTCATCTTCATTCAAAGTTTAAAATCTCTGCCCTCTTCACTCAGATGCGAACCAAAGCCAGGGTGGAGACATAAAGAGGAAATCCCACTGACCAGTAATAGTGCAGGAGGCAGGGTGACATCGCAGCTTCCTGACCACATCCACCAACAGGAAACTTCACTCTGACTGACATGATGATGTGGTAATGAGGGGGCGCCACTCCAAGGCCTCTTTTAAAATGGACCTAAAGAAGAATCAGTTTATCCTTGCTACAAACGGCAACGGTGAATTAAGTGTATTTTCTAACAAACCGGGTATGAGAACAAGACCGAGTGAATGAGGAGAACACTTGCTTTTGTTCAGCTTATTTTTATTTTTGTCAACATGTTTACATATGACCGACCTTGATCACTGTGGAATGAGTGTGAGCGAGGTGGTGTTACGGACGAGAGTAAGTCGTATGCTACATAATATAATTTGTATTTAAGCTTATGTGGAATAACAGAACTCTTGTACTGCAAGAGCAAAACAGAAAAGAAAAGCAGACTAAGTTTTATTTTTCTGTCTTATGTCTCAGATGTGGGAATTGTCGTGTCTGTAGAAACTTTATTGTTGGTCATCTCTGTTACCACAAATGACTGTTAAGTAGTAGCTTAAATTAATAATGATAAATTATTTGTAATTTACACAGGGACAAAACCATATTATTGCGTGTGTGTATGTGTGCGCAATCGATTTGAATGTGTGTTTGTGCGTAGAAACAATATACTGTTAATTTCTTTCCAGATTATTCTGAATAAGGATGTGTATCCCTTTTCACAATATTGAGTAAGTTTGATGCCCCTCTCTTGCTCAGTGTGTGTTTTGGTGCTGTTTAAATGCACTGGACCTTCTCTGGAAAAAAGACTTGAACTGAAAATGTTTTGGGCTCCTCTTCTGGTGGGAGGAGTCGCCTGTAAGAGAGGGGAGAAACATCAAGATTGTAGCCTACTTGAATTGTTTGTGAATTAATATTTTATTTACTCTGCTTATTGACTCAAACCAACTTATAACTCAACGCCTTAGTTTGTATTGAAAAAGTATGACAAAGATCTATGCAGGACTGTAAAACGCTCAATGCAAAAGCGCAGATTTTCGCTCGGCTTTCAACCTCTACTCAACTCGTCAGTGCATTTCTGGAGCTGTGAATGTGTGTAGATGGTATGAGACTCCTTTTTATTTTTCTGGAGTGGGTTCAGACAGAATGCAGAGCGAATTTAGAGGTGGTGTGATTACATGCAGTCGATGGAAAGACGGTGAGCTGGTTCCAAGTTGGTAAAATACTCTCCAGTACTCCCTAAGCTCCACGGCCAAATGAATCCCTTATTGAATCTTTCATTCTCGTTGTTGGTAGGGTTGCAACGGTATGAGATTTTCTTGGTATGATAACCGTCTCAGAAAATATCACAGTTTCCTGGTATCACGGTATTTCACGATTACTATTATCATCTACACCGAGTGTCATAGAAATGGAGACAGTTGATTGAGGATTGATCCTGGAGAATAAACCGAATTTTAAATGCAATTAAAAAAAAAAAAAAGCATATAAGTAGAGCATGTTAGTTTGCATCTTAGCACCAGCAGTAGAGGACGTATTCACATCATTTACTTAACTAAAAGTACTGCTATCATGCTTTGTTACAAGTAAAAGCCCTGCACTGAAAATGTTGAGTAAAAGTATCACGAAAATATACTTGAAGTATCAAAAATAGAAGTAGGCTACTCAGTGCAGAAAAACATTATACTGTATATACACTATACTGTTCTGTATACTATTATATCATTGCATTGAAAAGCCTGTCACTCATGCATTGATGGTGGTTTGTAACAGTAGTGCTGTTACAGTGCTCTGAAGGATTATCAAAATAGTTACGTTTATTGTAGGTGCACAACACCACAGCCAAACTGATCCTGTCTGTACCCTCACTTATACGAGCTGGTGAAGTTTGTGTGTGTGTTTCTGGGGTCAGATCAGGATCAGTGCGAGTTATTTTATAAGTTAGAGGTTAACGAATGAACAGTCAGTGTGGAAAATTATTTAGAAAATGTTTTGTGATACCGTTACTAAGCAAATGTGCATGGTATGATAACCATAAGTTTTCATCCCATGGTATACCGTGAACTGGTATACCGCTGCAACCCTACTTGTTGGTTTAGTCTCTTTGGCCTCTATGCTACAAACATTATTTTTTAAAAGATTATATTAAACAAGATCCATTTCCTCTTCATTACAATCAAAGTATAAAATGGAAATAAGTAAATGTACTACAAACATCAGCAAATTAAAAAAGACCTACTTAAATGGTGATATTTACAGGAGAGTATTCATTCAGGTGGAACAAGTCTGTTGTCTAAATATTTATCTGCTGTCTAACGTGTTCAAGAAAGACCTTGCATTATTGAGAAGTTGAGAATATGTTAGGTTGTATTTTGTGACCCAGCAGTGCAACAGCAAGCTCGCCTTGAGGTAACATCAGGCACTTTTCCACTGGAAGGTTCCCGGTATTTTTCTTTCCCAGGAACTAAAGTCTAAGAATTTTCCTTGGGGTAACTTACATTCCTTTCAGTGTATTGTGATTTGGATTTCCACCGCAGCCCTGGGAAGAATAAACAAATCAACCCGCTGATGTAAAAGCGCCATGGTCTTCAGCGGAGTTTTAAGAATGGCGCATATAAAATGCTCTGCGGTAAATGACCAGTCAGCGCTGCTGCCTCACCCCAATAGTTCTTGGACCATCAAAGTATTTCTGTCAACTAGTGCTGCATCTCATGTCTCTTGTATGATTGGTCCTCAAATGTCACCTCTGGGTCAAACAAGGATATGTCCCAAGACTATTATCTGCTCTGAGGAGCAAGGATGCTGGCGGAGGCATGAAAGCATCCGTTCGCTGAAGTTTTTTATGGACTGATTTGCTTTTATCAGAAATTGGTGATTGGATGCTCTACAGATGAAGGGTCTGAGCAAAGGACATCTCATGTCCTTAAATGTGTTTCCTTGATTCTTTTTCTTTTCCTTATTTTCATCTTATGTGGATGAGGCTAAGACACAAGGAAAAGAAACAAAGAAATTCTGGTGCTTATAAGAGACTTGGGATGTACCATTGGGACGTTTTGGGGGGGGAGAACTACACCCTGGAACAAAATTTAGACCCTAGATCCTCCAGTGGAAACAAAGGAATATGAACAAAGTTCTGCAAAAGGTTCCTGTTACAAGAGTAGCTTATTTGGTGGAAACACGACTGTTAAGTGCATGTTAAAAAAAAAATCAGTTACTTATGTGATATTCGCTGAATGAGAACGTAGAATTTGTCATTTTCACAGTTTTTATTGAACTTTAGTAACTACAGACATATCCACAAACTGTTGGCAGAATGGCTGCAAATGGTAGTTGCATAAAAACAAATACAGTATAACACCGATACAATAAATCAGCTAATTTAGAACAAGCTGTACACTTTTATCTTACTTTACCTATTTCATGTTAAGCTGGTGTGGCTACAAAAAACACCTTGAGTAATGTGTGACCACTCCCAAGTTGGAATTACCTCTATTTTCATGGTTCCTTCAGTTCTGCCGATGTTTGTGTGAATGCAGTTATTCTGAGGTTTTTAAGTCGTGAATGTAGTTACTTAAACATGCAGAGATAAGTTTGGGTGGGAGCACAAAGAACCAGAGTTTGTGGCCATTTAAGAGGCTGAGCAGAAAACAAAATGACACAGAGAAAGGGTCAGTACAGCTGTTTTTAGCTATCTTATGGCTATTGTTTGCACAGTCACTGGTGACAAAAACCAGAATGGCCCAGTGGTCAGATTTGTGAAATTCATGATGCTCTCTGTCTGAACTCCTTCATACATTCCCTCAGCTGAATACCTCCGTTGACAAAACCGATCTTCCCGAGTCTCTCTGTTCTCCCTGACTAGTTCCTCCGTGTGTCTGACTGACCGGCAGCACAGAGAACGATGCCAAAGACTGTTCACGTAGCTCTCCTTGATGGGGTGTAGCCGGTTAGTGTGTGGTTGTATTACAGTGTGTGTGTGACATTTCTGACATTTGCTCACAACTGTAAACCCATGAGTGTCGACGTGTGGTCCTTCAGGATGTCATTGTGAAGTCCTGTGACTGGAGCAGTGGGTGACATATTATAAATTGTGCTCTCTTTGGGGTAGGATAAAATGGCATTTTGTGTTTAACTGGTTACTTAATTTGGTCTTTTGTAGATTATTTTTGTGTGTCAACTGAAATTAAACAAAACAGGTGGTTTTCATGACTTTTATTTTCATTTACAAAACTTTCTCTTTATGCTTCAGTTTACAAAACAGTGCAAGAAGGTTTCTGACCACAGGTGCAGGGTTGAACAACATGTAGATAGGAGCCTTCAGCTTCACCTCTGGTTGCAATATGCACCACAAAAGCAAGATGGCGCGCGCGCACCCCCACCCCAATCGATACTTTGGCCTCACTTTTGCATGGTGGCAGGAAGTAGTAACACGCCTTTCAAATTTTCGTACACTTTGTGGCTTCAACTGGTAGATATCTCTCCCTTGTGGACTGAGCTTAATCACCTCCACCAATCCATACAAACCCATGTTGGGCCATTTGTGTCCAAGTACATAGGTGAAGTCTGTTATTGGTTTGGAGTTGGGTGTGTAGACAGGATCAGCAGGTGAAGTGAACTGAAAAAAAGCTGTGGATCAGACATCATGAAGACGGCGGAGTGAAGGAGATAATGTTCGTGTATCATTTTGGTTTAAATTTTTTTTTTTTGTAGCATAGAAAAGCCTGTAACTCGAACTTTTAACACTGAAATGACTGCAGTTTGATGGCGCAAGCAAGAGGATGGAGACCAGGTGCTCATCAAGCCTCGTCATCAACCAGGTAAGGACTGTTTCCTGCTTAAATTGTAAATCCTTAAGTTGGTCAAAGTAGTAGTAGTAGTAGTAGTAGTAGTAGTAGTAATAATAAATTATCTGTAGTAACTTTTTTAAAGTAGCTGTAGTTATAGTTGACGTTTCTCGTACAGCAATGAACTACATGTGTTGGGGAGTATTTTCAGTCATTATTCTGCAGAGTCGACAGAATGTCCATCAGTTTGTCAAGGTCCAAAGTGATGTCTTCTGGGTTCAGATGCATGAAACCGCGCAGATTCCTAAAACTGTGTATGTGTGTAGCAGCTTTGAAATGGTCGCTGATGAGCACAGGGATGACAGGCATACCACTAGCCAGGACCCGCGGTTTATTTGACCACTAGGTCTCCACAACAACGCAAACATTTAATAGAGTAACATAACAAACGCACAAAGTAGCAGCTTTCTCATGTTTCCAGCGCAAACGCTGCACAGTTTTTTTTTTTTGTAAATATATGCAAGTCACGTTTTGGCACATTACAGGCAAAGAGATCGGACACCTATGTATTGGGTTCCGACGTGCGTGACGTATTTGTAGTTTATCATCCAATAGACGTAAACGGGAGAACACAAAATGCTAGCACACATTTTCAAATCGTTTTAAATAAAGGTTCTTTTAAATAAGTGATTTTAAAAAGCTGAACAAATATTCTCAAAAGTAAAAATGTCACTTCACATACAAATATACTAAATTGACTCGGCTACATTTGCACTTAGCCAGGAGCGCGTGCACGTTTTCGTCGGATTTATAATCTGTCCTTGTGGAATTATTACTCTTCTTCTTCTTCTTTTTTCTTCTCCTCTTTTCGTTTCTCCTTTTCCCTTTTTTTCTTGTTCTTTTTTTCCTTCTAATTCTACTTCTTCTACTACTTCTTCTTCTTCTATTATTATTATTGTTGGCGGTTTGCAAGCCAACTCGTGCACGAGCTTCTTTTCCACTCCAACCTTTAGCCATAAATAGATGTAAATACGACCTTAATTAACTATTTGCATAAAATCGCCGGCTAAGCCACACGTTATTAGAAAAGCTAGTGAAGTCTCAATCGTGAAAATGATTATCAGTAGATTAATCTACAAGAGCTGGAGAAATGACGCCAAAAGTTAAAGAATAATAGCGCAGCTGGTTAAAATAGGCTGTTTTGTGTACCCGTGCGTCCATCAAAACCGCGTGTAGGCATGGGCTGAACTATGCATGAGGTGCACACGTTCTTCCCGCACATGCATGTTTCCTGTTCCTGCACATCGGGTGTCTTGCTTTCAGACTGTCCAAAACTCAGTGGCGGGCCGTGCATTTGGTACCTGGGCCTTCAGTGGAGACCTACCCGACTTTACCACCACTGTACGTCGCAATTATAGAAACCATCAATGCTATACAAAAACGCAATATAATAAAGTGTGGCATTACAGAGAGAGAGGTATTTCGCGTATTGAGGGTGAATACCGTTTTTACTAAAGCAAAACTCATATACACCGATCAGGCATAACATTGACAACTTGTTGTTTATCCTTATTACTTGAATTCAGATTTCATTTTCTATTTATTCAGTGAACTGAAGAAACTTAGAAAAAAAATTAATCAGTGTTTATTCAACTTTTATTCTATTTTATTTTAAGTGGTATGGGCATAAATTATTAGGACAGAAACAGTATTTCAATTTTTCTGTATGTCCTGCACATATAGTGAATTGACAAATCAAATAACCAGAATACTTTTACCACTGCATTTAGTGAATTATTTTTCTGACCGATAGTTGCATTATCTGCTGAAATGATTCTTTAAAATATCAAACATGTTTTGTTAAATACATATAGAGATGAAACAAAATGCACAATGTTGCATGCATCTGACTGCAGAGCAGCCTCTCCAGGCTCCCACTGTAGGAAAACAAGACCAGACTCCAACAAACCAAAACTTAATCACAGCTACAATGAATGTTTTATTTTTCTTTTACAAAGGAAACAGAAAAAACTGTCTAGAAATACAGGTATACAAGAAATAATACGATGGGAGTAGTTGCAGTTGAATGCTTGGTTGTCAACAGCCAGCATGATAATAAAGGAAAAAAACGAGTTAACTACTTGTGGATGTTAAAGCTTCCAACCATCATTTCCCAAACTTCAGTGCTAAGTCTTCACCTGTGAGTTGGGGGGGAAAAAAAAATCTTAGGACAAAAATAATTCAGGGAAATACAGCTGCCGAAGGCTCTGCTTCTCACGTAATTAATTCTAATACTGATTTTGATCCAAACACCCTAACTAGGTTATTATGAAGATAGAGGTACACACCAGATATAAGAAGCACAGCAAAAATAGGCTGCACAAAAAAGCATTATCTTCTTGATGTACCGGTTGGTTGCTCATTAGGTTTTCTTCCACAACTATAATGAAATTCTTGCCCTCTTATGTTCTTATTTAGTGTCTAAGGCACTTTTAAAGAAACATAGTTAAGTGTTAGTATTTGAGAAGGGCTAAGGACTCTGCTATAGACGACCATCCTAACCAGAATTAAAGGAAAAGACTCAAAGTAGAACAGCTGATGGACGTGACTGTCACAGTGAGTCGTTCGCACGCTGGGGTGGTTTAACCATTGAGGTGGCTGCTGTCTTTCAAGCAGAGACTTCTTAAAAATGTTACTGTTGTTTAAATATGATTGAACCTCCTGGTGTAATTTTGTTTCATGTTGCATAAACTGTAATTTCCAGCTGCGATCTTTGTTTAAATTAGCAAGTAGTTGCAGCCTGGGATACACACAGGTTAAAACATAGCTGTTGTGACATTGTAGATCTATTGAAAAGTCCATATTTCTGAGCACCTCAGACTTGTAATCTATGCTGTCTTAAAAGTTAGGAGTTATATTTTTCTTATCCAGATGGTTAGAATAGTTCAGGATTTTAGAAAAACCTTACAATCAGTGGTCAGTACTGGCGTCCCAAAGATCACATGTATTTATTATAAAGAAAAACTGCAACTTTGTAATGATAATACAAACCAATGTGAGGCATAAACACTGAAACGTGGTGGGCAAAAAAAAGACCATTTCTAACTGAATTACATTAAACTACGCTGTGACCATTTATTATCACATTCAAAACATGGACTGAGCATCACTGTAGTGCTTCCAGTTAAGAGTGTTGTTTCCTGTTGGTTTCCAGTTAAACATTCAAACTGCTTCCTGTGCATTTCCCAATATCTTTGCATCATTCATCGCACATGCCACTCCACACTGGGCAACAACCCAGTAGTGTTCCCAATAGTCACCAGTGAAAACCCAGATAGACATTCCTTCATTAAATGTTGAGATAAAGCAACATAATATAAAATACCGTTTTTCACAGTAATACATTAGCAGTTCACAGAGTCCATGCTGCTGCTGTTGTTTTGCAGGTCCCGAGCTGTCGGTCACTCCTGTAGTGTTGAAGCTGAACATCAGTCTGTACATCAGAGGGAGACTCAAGCAGCAGACATCCCATGGACGCATTGAGCTTGGATTTAAGGAGAGTTTGAACACTGGACAGAGATGGAGTGGTGGAGGTGAGATGGCTTCTTCACAACTAGTGAGCAGAACACTTAAAACAATACCAAAGTGAAATATGTCTCCTTGTAGTCTTGCATTTCCCGTATGGAGTGGATTCACATACGTTACACACTGTGCGCACCTCACGGCCCCCTTCTACATCACACACACACAGTTTCACATGTATAAAAGCACTTTGTATCTATGCAATCATTTCTCAATAAGCTGAACAGATAACTTCACGCCTGGTGGGACGAGGGTGTTACGCTGTGATGATACATGGCCGACAGACGAGCCAGGACTAGCAGCTTACCGGAGGAGAACAGAGTAAGGCAGAATTGTCCGTGTACCCCTGTGAATGGAAGATTTACTTCAGGGGAGGGTGGTGGATTTTCCCTGTAGTGTTCACAGATACAAAAAGGGCAAAGGGAGGGGAAATCTTCTGTCCAGTCAGTGGTTCATAGTGGAGAGAGAGACCATGCTGACGCCAAGGAGCTTCTGGGCAGGACTGGGCACAGGACACAGATGGACGAGGTGAAGAGGAGATGGGTAGTTAATCAATGGTAGGGTCGCTGTGATTACTCTGCGTTGGGGGTTTGTGTCTCGTTAAAGTCGCCAGCGCGGCTGTCGGCATCATCATCTGACAGGTCGATGGAGGCGCCATCCAGATTGAGGTTGCGGCGGCCCGAGCGGCTGGTGGAGAGGCTGCTGACTGGACCCCCACGTCTGATCAGAACAAACCAACAGAACAACTTAAACCTCTGCTGCTTAAAGGAATGATCTGATTTCTTGCCAAGCGTTTCAGAAGGTTGACGGCCCTCTCTTAGACATACACTAAATATGGAGCTAGAGGTGATTAGCTTAGCTGAGGGAAACGGCTAGTACTTTAAATGCCTCTAAGGATCATTCATTTGGTTTTACTGGATCTTTTCTGTTTCATCTGGACACAAACATAACTGTAAAACCAAGTTGTCTTTAATTTTATTTTCTCTGATGGACAGGAGCCACCTGAGGACTCATTGTACCTGAGGCGGTTCTTGAGGGAGGTAACCTCTCGGATGAGACCCTCATTGGCCTCAGAGGTGTCGTCCAGCTCCCTCTGCAGCTTCCTGCGGGAGGCATTGGCCCTGGTAGCCTCCTCCTCTGCCTCCTCCAGCTGACGCTTCAACTGCTTCATACGAGAGTTGGCCTTCTCCATCTAAAACGAGCACAGACACACAGAGAGCTCATGGACAGCTGATAGAATAACCATCTGAAGTACAGTTGAATCTTTCTAACACGTCTCTTTACATGCGATGAAGCAATACCTGCTCTTTGTACTGGTCGGCATGACGACGCTCATCCTCTACCTGCATCATGACCTCTTTCAGTTTCTTCTCAGTGCGACGGACTGTTTTGTTGGCTGCCACCTTTTCCCTGGAAGACAGGAAAGGTTAAGACAAGCGTTCATTACATCTGCGTTATGTTCAGTCCAACTCTCTGGAATCACATATGCTACAGTTTTCTCTTACTAGCACCACTGACACCTTTCACATGTATCCAGAACCTGAACATGAACTCTACAATGACTTTTCAACTCAACCTGTCCTCCACTTTGTGGAAACCTTGAGCTTGGACACGTACTTGGTTTCCTGCTCCAGCTGCTCCTCCATCTGCAGGATCTTGGTCTCCAGAGCAGTGATGGCTGCCTTAAACTTGGACTTGACAGCCCCTTCTAGCTCCGCCAGCTTGGCTTTCAGCTCCTGCGTTTAGAACACCCAAGTCCATGAGTGTTACATATAAGAAGGATGCTTTTTGTTAAATGACATGCCAACATGTTTAAGTTCTTCCAGCAGACTGAACCACAGAAGAGGTGACGCGTCCATGTACAACGGGAACACAAGGTTAGCTGAGGTGACGTACAACTTCTTCTTTCGTAAGGGGCCCCTTACTCCCACTAGGGGTCGCCACAGCAAATCATCAGTTGCCACCCAACTGACGATGTGCATGCTAAACTTGACATGGTTTACGGCAAATGCCCTTCTGGATGAAGTCTAATTTAAAGTCACCAATCAACCTCAACTGCACGTCTTTGGACTGTAGGAGGAAGCCAGAGTACCTGGAGAACCCACGCAGGCACAGGGGAAAAAACTCCACAGAGAAAGGCGTCGGGGCGCAAACCTGGAGCCTTCTTGGTTGTGAGGTGAAGGCGCTAACCACTGTGCCACCCAGATACCGTATAACAGGTGACCAACTCCTTAAATTATCTGTATAAAAAAAAAAAAGTTTGGATTTAACAAACCATCCAGGACCTTGTTCTGCCGTTCCATCTGTTGCCGAGTGCTCTCACTCTTCTGAGCAGCGCTGCGCTCTGCAGCCAGCTCAGTGTTCAAGCTTTCGACCTGAAGAAGGAGAGATAGAGGTGGGAGAGGGACAGTGTGTCAAACTGTGTTTGAAATGTTCAGATAAAGTTACTTCTAAAGCTACTGAGAAATATTTGCAGTCGACATCTTCCAGCTGGCGTGGCTGTATTCATCTTGGTTTACATTCATGACCATGATTATCTCACCTGCATGCTGGTCTTTCGGAAGCGATCGTTGAGCACCTCCGTGTTGCCCTGCTCTTCCTCCAGCTCCTCCTCCAGCTGGGTGATATGTGCCTCCAGCCTCCTCTTCTCCTCCAGCAGTAACACCCTGTCACACAGATCTCTAACATTTTTCATTCTGGCTCCAGTCTGCTGACCACTGAATTACAAACTTAGCCTAGTTCTCCAAAACAAACAACCTTTACACTGAAGTCATGAAATAAAAGATGATTTCACTGGCAGGAGACTATGGGATTGCAATGTTCAGTTGCTGTAAACTTGCCCTTTCTCCTATGCTACCTCTGTCCACATGCGCAGTAGATTTGAGGTGGAGATGTATTCAAATTTACATAATTGGTGCTGCTAAATGTTCCGCTAAACATTAACATTGCAGTGCCAATAGTAATGTAGAATCAGTACAAAGGTGACACTGACTTTCCAGAGGCGCTGCTGGAAATCTCATCAGCCAGCTCATCTCTCTCCTGTTCAGCATGTCGACGGGCCCTCTCTGAGGCTGCGTGGTCCTGTTCAAACACATATATTAAGGTCATTCATTCCACCGTTGTCACATTCTCCACTTTGTCATAAGTAAAAGAGGAAATGTCACAGATGATCCCTAGTTCAGAACTATTAAGAGCTAAAATAGCAGTAACAATTACCTCTTGTAGCTGTAAGACTTCAGCTTCTAAGCCCTTGAGTTTCTTCTCATTCTCCTTAGACTGGGTGAAGATCTCGTCCCTGGAGGCTCTGGCTTCCTCCAGCTCCCTCTGGTAGTCCTTCATCTGAGCCTGCAGGACAACAAACAGACCAGGGGTGGGTAAACTTTTTGACTCGCGGGCCACAATGGGTTCTAAAATTTGACAGAGGGGCTGGGCTGGGAGCAGAAGGATGGAGTGTTTGTGTGAACTAATATAAATGACAAAAGCCATTACATAAAAGGTTCTGGCCTTTAACAGGTAGCAAAGCATGAAGATGCAAGGCTTATTATACAAATTATTCTCCAAATGCATTTTTTTTTTCATAACACAGAGAAATAAACCTTCAATTTGAGTGGGAACAGTGTTGTTGGTCTCCCTTTTTAGCCAGTGCATCAAAGTCAGTCAAAATATGAGGTTATGCAGAGAACAGATGTTTGTAGGATGTGTACCTGCAGTTTTCGGAGCTGTTTGATAGCCTCGTCCCTGCCTTTGCTGGCTGCTTCGATCTGTCCCTCCAGCTCGTTCAGGTCCATCTCCAACTTCTTCTTGGCTGCAACAGCCAGAGTTCTCTGCTTCCTCTCATCCTCCAGCTCCACCTCCATCTCACGCACCTGGAGGAGTAAAACAATACACGGCATGTCAGGTTAAATCCAGCATTTTAGCAATGGATACAAATTCTGGCATAAAAAAAAAAAATCCGTTCATATTGCAAGAGCAGCGACGGTCTTCATTTCTCAGGTCAAAGTTCTGTATTTCAGGACAAATATAAAACCCATGGAGCCAAACTATTATGGTCACCAGCTGTGCCCTGTGTACCTGTTTGACCAGTGCCCTCTTCTTCTCCTCTCCCTGCTCGTCTCTGGCCTGCACATCTCGATCAAACTGGGCCTTCATGGCTTGCATGTTGACCTCCAAGCGCAGTTTGGCGTCTTCTGTGGCCTGCAGCTCATCCTCCAGCTCCTCCAGCTGAGTCCTCATCTCCTCCACCTGCTGCTCGAGTGTACGTTTGGACTTCTCCAGTTCATGGACCTGTACAAAGTGTCAGGAGGAACAGTGGGTGTAATGATGGAGCAAAAGAAGCTGGTCAGCCCTCAAACAAACCTCAGTGGCTTTCCAAGAAGAATTGCTAAGATGTGTTTAACCATAAAGCAGACTGTTCTTCAGTAGTAGGTCCAAGGTGACTCACGTTTTTCCCCACATCATCCTTGGAGCTCATCAGGTCCTCCATTTCAGCACGGAGCTGTTTGTTAAACCTTTCCAGTTCCTCCTTGGCCTCCAAAGCCTCCTCCAGAGCTCTGGCCATAGACAGAGCCTTGGTGTCCTTCTCCCTGGCCTCAGCCTCTGCACGGTCACGCTCCTCAGCGTAACGAGCTGAGATTGTCTTCTCCTCAGCAAGCATCTAGTGCAGACAAACAGTGGCCCTTAATTCACTGACACAGACAGCCTTACGGTCCATCATGTCTGAAACATTCTGTGTGATCCAGTTTACCTGGTCAAACTTCTTCTGCTTTTTCTCCAGGTTGGAGACAATCTGTCTCTGCTGGTCCAGGTCCACCATCTGGTCGTCCAGCTCCTGCTGTAGTCGGTTCTTGGTCTTCTCCATCTTGTCCAAGGCCATGGTCTTCTCTTCCAGTCGCTGGTTCGTCAGCTCCAAGTCCTTTTGGAGTTTCCTCTTCATCTCCTCTAGGCCCTCCATTGCTCCCACATCCTCCTCCATCTTCTTCTTTGTCTCCAACACCTACAGGAAGGACATTTTTAAATCAAATAATACCAAAATATAATACAGCCAGGGAGCAAGAAGTCGCAAGTCCAAACTGTTGATATTGCAGATATGGGATATGAGCCTCGCCCATTCGATTACCAGGCCAATCAAATTTGTGGGTCATTAAAAACATGTCACTCGGTGCAACAGTGCACATACAAGGCAGTGTTTTGTTCTGCAAAGTGCTACATTTGTTGTTCAGCTCATCACATACAATTAACCTCACACATGGCAGCAGCTACATGGGAGCATTAAGTAACAACCATGGCAAATCACTTGTTTACATTTTGAACAGCTGCAGCTCTTTGATGAAATCTATAAAATTACAAACTCTTGAATTTGCATCGCAGTAGACGGAAACACGCAACACTTTGCCCACAGCAAATTCTTTGCATTTTTGTTATGTTCAGGACCTATTCAGTGTAAAAGGGCCATAACTGTGGGTCGATACAACCCTTGAGCACACATCTCACAGAGTAACATGATGGTAAAACACATGCAGTATGTAGAGAGATACATCTGCTTCATCTCGTGCTTTTACTTCTACTGTCTCTTTACTTCTATATCTGGCAACTGGCCAGAAAAGTGAACACATCCTTGTTATTCTGAACTACACAATCACAGCTGACTCACATTTTCACTTCATGTGGTTTTCAATTTGCTGTGAGGCCTCACTGCTCTACATCTGTCAGCATGCTGCTCTGCAAATCTGCAACAGATGTTTACAGCTGGTAAATGGCTGGACGCTTTTGCCTGGTCCTTCTCTTGGCACTCAGTCGAGTGAATTGTATGTCTGCATCATCCCAGTATATTTGTTTATGTCAAACCTGAAGTTGTTTGTGTGTATATGTATATGCTGCTGACCTTTAAATGCATGTTTATGAAACTGATGTTTGTGAATGTAAAGACTGTACCTGAGCCTGCATAGACTGCAGCTGTTTCTCCAAGTTCCGTCGTGCCTCTTCATCCTCCTCCTGCTGCTCCAGCAAGGTGTTCTTGTCCAGCTCCAGCTGGCGGATTTGGCTGCTCAGGTTCAGCTTCTGACGAGTCTCCTCCTGTCGCAGCTCCTACACACCAGAGCACAAATGGAAATAATGATCACACAAAAGAAAAGTGGGCAAAACTATATCACGTCTAGTGTAATAGATGCCTCTTATGTGCTAATTAGAGAGGTGTGATCACAATACAAGAAACAATTTTTAAATACATAAATTCATGTACTTGGCCTTTTAATCCTATTGTGATTTGATCGCTACTTCTGAACAGGTAAATGAGGAAAGCCGCTTGCTAGATTCACTGTAAGGCTGCAACTAAATATTTTCATGATCAAATTAATCATTTGCTCTATAAAACATTGTAAAAATGTGAAAAATGCTCACCTCAAAATGCTAGAGCACAAGGTGGCATCATTAAACGTCACTTATTCTGAGTTTATAATTTAATAAAAGAAAAGCTGTAAATTCCTACATTTGAGAACCTAGAACCATCAAGCATTTGGCATTTTTATTAAAAATTACTTAATCAGTTCTTAAAATAGCTGCAGCTCTTGTTTATAAATTAACCAGACTTGGGACAATGGTGATACAACTGAAGTTTTCACCATATAATTTTAAAGCAAGTTATTCTATTGACAAAAAAGAAAAGATAAACACACACACACACACACACACACACACACACACACAGTAGGAGACTGTTTTACAAGAGGATGTACTGGTTCCATTGTTGTGGCTCAGTAACAGGCGAGTCTCCTGAACAAATGTTAAATTTGCAGCGATGACAGTTCAGTTATTTAAACACCTACAACACAACGTTATTTTCCTGTTGAGGCTCTAGCTTTAGCCTTGTGACACGGTTAAAAAACAAAAAAAACAAAACAACAAACGACCATGTAGGTGATGTCTATGTTTACACTGTTCTCACAGCCCCTGTCATACTCTGTCAAGTTTTCATGTAGCTTTTGGTGAGTCTCAGGAAAACAAGACAAAACAGACAAAACAAAAAAAAAAAAGGGGGGG